GTCCTGAAGTCGTCCGCCAGCAGGCACAGCGTCCCGAGGATGTGCATCTGCCGCTCCAGGGTGTACCTCATCATGTCGCCTGTCCAGGCCCAGCCCTTCCTCACAAAATCCTGCATGGCTGCCAGGCCCTCCAGCTTGACCACTCGCATTCTTCGAAACCTGGTGGCACATGAGTGGATCACAGTTCGCGGTCGCAAACAAGACAATCAACACGCTCTGTGCCCCTCAATAATATTTCCTGCTCGTTGCTTTGGAGCCCGCCCCTGCAGCTGCGCGCCTGTGCGACGCTCCCAGCCCCCGTGGTGCACGCTCACTCGTGCGCCGCGATGATCACAAACTCGTCAGGTCTGCGGGCGCTGAGGCGCCCCGAGTTCAGGAGGTTGGCCACAAAGGCGCCGTCCTCGCAGTCAAGCTTGTTGGGGAACGGCGCCTCAAAGTCCTCCAGCCCCTCGGGGTCGTCGGGCATCATCCGCTGGGTGGCCGCGTCACACCGGGCAAGCGGAGGCGTGGTGAGGTGGGGCGCAGGGGGCGGCAGAGGTTGCAGGTGTCGGGGCTTCTGTCGCACACGCCGCTTGTAGTAACAATGGGGTCTTTGCAAAGTCACCTGTCTGCATGTCCCCCGCAGCATCGAACCCCAGAATCGACCTCGGATGAGTCATCACAACCCCGAACCTTCTCGGCACACAGTAAATTAGCACCCCTGTCAACTGCCCAAGAGGATGACCTGAGCGACCCCCTGAACCCCCACCTTCTCAAACAGCTGGATGAGATTGCCCAGGCCGTCGCCCGCCAGGTCAGCGACGTTCATTTCGGGCATGAGGGTGAGGGCGCCCAGCATGCTCTCGCGCTTGCCGTTGATCATAACGTACTCGGAGTCGCGGCTGTCTGGCATGGTGTCCATCGAGACCTCCTTCAGCCAGGATTTCTGTGTGCGTGCGTGCGTGCGCGTGTGAGTGCGCGCGCATGCGCACGATGGACCGGCGCAAAAGCAAGTGCAACTTGGAAAGTTCAGGGTGTGATGTGTGCTGGCAAACAGCCACAAGAGTCGGCTGCCTGCTGCGCAGGCAGCCAGAAGCATCGCGCGCTCTCACCCGGGCATCGAAGGACAAGCCACGCCACTTGTCAGCAAACGCCTCGCCGTGCTCGCGCCAAAACCTCCTCAGCGTCTTCCTCTGGGCTTTCACATGGTGGACGACATCCTGGTCCGTGCCACTCGCTGGCGGCCCCTCCGCTCGCACATGCCACGTGCCGCCGCTGTCCTGCTGCTGTGCTGAGCTCGTGCTCGCCCCTCCCCCCACCTCACACGTCTGCCGCTGCCGCTGCGCCTTGCTGTGCTGCTTCTGCTTCTTGGAGCCCTTCGTAGGCATGTTGGCTCTCGCGGCTGCAGGAGCAGCGAGGGAGCTCCAGAATCCAAGGCAAGCTCAAAGCAGGAGCAGAACGGAAACAAGGTGCAGATCGCAAAGGCTCGGGACGACCAACTCGTCTCTCAAGCACAAGATCTGAAATTTACGATTTTGTTTTCAGCAGGCTTGGGGTCTACGCCAACTGCCCGCACTTCCGTCATTATGTGTCACTCACGAGGTGACTAACTCATTTCAGGCGTTTATCAGCTTATGCAACGGTCGCGGAGCCAACGAATCACATTACATCAAGCTTGGGGCACGCCTTTTCTGCCTGTGCCGCGCACTCCAGCAGCTGGGCTCTGCCGGCGCAGTCAGGCCCCACTTTTTGACCACAAGCTGTAGCCAGACCGCCAAATAACCCTGCCATTTGCCTATGGGGGACAGGATGAGCGTGACGCGCCTGTTACACTCGCTCCACCCACCCAGCCGCTGGCACGGTCTAAAACCAAATCAACATGAGCTTTGTTGATCTCTGCAAACAACTTCATCATGTCAGGCAGGGCTAGAACAGTGCGTTCCTACTGCACAGCCAGATGGGTGTTGTTGGCTGCCATACCCCTTTGCTGCTAGCGGCTGCCTTAACGACCTGCTTGACAGCGCGAGCCAGCAAGCCTGCACGCCGTCCTTGTGGCTGGTGCTGCCGCATCCGCTTGCAGCAGCTACCCCCTCCCAGCTGCTGTCATTGACCGCACAGCCAGCAGTGGTACTGCCGCTGCACGCCTTGCTTGCCTTTCATGCAGCTGCACAGTCAAGGTGTGCTTGTCAACCATGCATGCGTCTGCATGCGGCGCTCGCTTCCACGGACGGTCCGATTGGAGCACAACGTTTGCAGGATAGAGACTGCAATGATGGCGTTGCCAACGCCTCCTCGACGCTCCTTTGCTTGTTTGCATGTGCATGCAGGCGGGATTGCAGTCGAGCACATGCACATTGCTGAGGGTTTTAATCCAGGACAACGGAAAATCTCAATTAAAGGCCATGCAGGACACAAGGGCAGGCCCATGGCATCTTAGTCACGCGCATTCGACATGCGATTTGCGCTTGGCCACGTGGCATGACATATTGGATAGTCCCAATGAATGTGGCAGCAGGGCTGACACGCGACGGTTGGGTGCTTCATGGTAGTAGGGTCACTGTGGACGTTGCCGCCATATGGCAGGCCCGACCTGCAGAAGGGGCGTACTCAGCCCCGCACACACTCGCGCCATGCAGGCTGCAAGTGGCGCTGTGCAACGACCGAATCTTTCTCAATTCATAAGCAAGCAGGGCCGCCGTGCCGGCC